GTGTCTCGTTTTGAAGAAGGTCGAACACTGGGAGAACTTCTGGTAACGACTCGTCCTTTCAGTTCAGCAATGGTGGATGACTTGCCACGTATAGGACAAGGTCGACCAACAGAACAACAACTGCTAATGGATCAACATTGCATCGCGCTGTTGCTTATGAAGGATGAGGTAAGAGAGCGGGGAAGGGCCGAATCTTTGTAACAACTCGCAGGAATGAGACGCGCGCTGTGTCACGAACAAACCCTGAATTGTGTTGGGGAGGGTTTAACATTTCTGTTTCTAAAACAAACGCGTGACTCCTGTTGTTTAACGCGGACTGAAAACTTCTGTAGGCCGAGGACTGTTCGTCACATTATCAACATGAAGCTAAGAGTGCACGTGGCTTACGACAGCGATCGAAGTGACGTCGTGCGTTTAATCGACCAGAGTAAATTGTCAGCGACCTAGAAACTGATCGGCAATCAGGTTACAGTTCTGATGCTGTTACTACATACGCGTCTTTACGGAACAGTGAAAAAACAATATTCATTTTTGAGAATTGGGTCTTGAGGAGGATATTTGGGCCTAGGAGAGAAGACGATGGGGTCTGGAGAAAACTACGTAAGGACAAGTTTAAAAAATTTGTATAATATGCCCGGAATATTGTCAGGGTGATGAAGTCGAGAAGAATGAGATGGGTGGGGCATGTAGCGCGCATGGATGGGACAAGAGGTGTGCACCAGATATTGGTTGGGAAACCTGAGGGGAAGAGACCTCTGGCGAGACCTAGACGTAGATGGGAGGATAATGTCAGGGGGGATCTATGGGAGATAGGAGTTGAAGGAGACTGGATTTTGTTGGCCCAGGACAGGGACCGGTGGAGGGCTTTGGTTAATTCGGTGATGAACCTTCGAGTTTCATAAGCCATCTGGTTAGTTATTAGCTAGTAAGGAACAGTAAGTGCGGCGATTACAGGACCATCAGCCTAATCTCACATGCGGCGAAGATACTGACTGAAAGACTAGAAAAGAAGAGTGATGGGAGACGACGAATTTGGATTCAGGAGAGGAAGAGGAACCAGAGATGCCATCGGAGTTATGAGAATAATTTCAGAGAGAGTTCTCGATGTCAAGGAAGAAGTATGTGCCTGCTTCATCGACTGGAAGAAGGCTTTCGATCGAGTAAAATGGAAGAAATTAATGAGGATCCTACAGAGAATTGGAATTGATTGGAGAGATAGAAGACTA